TCAATGACCAAATAGATAGGTAAGAAGGAAGGAAGACAACTTCTGAGACATGAAGGGCTACTTAGAGACAAGCAGGGGCAGGAGTAAAAAAAGGCAAAAGAAGACCTAGCTTAGATTACTTTTGGTAAATAGTAAATAGGGATGTGGGATGTTCTAGATTTCGGGAAAAAGGAGAAAAGAAAGGAGTTGTGTGTCTTCAGCTTTTGGATTGACAACCTTGTGGTGTTGACCAAAAAGTTTGGGAAAATGTACAGTTTCCCTTTAATCTACTGATTTTGCATGTCGAAAAATCCATAGTTACTAACGCAGGAACAATTAGTTTTCTTATTCAATATCAGCTTTGATATTTCAAGTTTTTCTTAAACACTTTTCTATATTCCAAATCGCATTTCTTTCATCCTCCACGCCGCTGTTGGCGAAAAAACGAAAAAGAAACATGCAAGATAATCTGATATTAAATAGTCCAAGTCTGACCTAACCCAGTTAATGCGGTTACAACATTGTAGTGTGGTTAGTTTGAAAGAGTGACTGAAATGGTGACGGTGTGTCCGAGAAGGCTTTCCATTATACTGACCAACACGCTGACACTCAACAGTCGGCCCCAGACCTCAGTAAGTCAGAGTCGACTGTGGGGTTCGCTGACCGCTTCGAAAACGCTTATATGTACCTGTAGGTACAGTTACCGGTCTTACAGGCTCGCTCGTTATAAATGTATAAAGTATAAACGAAATTCCACATACGGAATTCAACGTTAGGTCTATTAGGTGTACAAACACATTCAATGGCGAATGCAGGGGGGATATGGGGGCTGTAGCCCTCCCCCCCGTAGACCGGACTAATTAGTCTCCAAAACATTGTGAATCACCCTCTCGTACCTCTTTGTCAAATCTCGCTCGTTTTAGTCGCAAAACTAGCCATTAAAGCGAAATTTTTGGTCTTCGTCCTTATCATAAAATAAACCGATAAGGGTTCGACTTTCAACTGTTACTGTATGTTTTGACCAAGAGAGATATGCCATTTTTACCGTTAAATACAAAGTGCCTGCTTTTGTAATCATATAAAAATGATGTTTCAGTAGTTAAATTCTTATTTTTGGAAATTATGTATACAGTTATAAAAGGCAATCTGCTATACAAATATGATGCTAGAGATGACCATACTTTTACTTTTTTTGTACTCTCTCTCTTTTTAACGCACATTTTAAAATCAGAATTTTAACCTCTGCGTATTCTCCTTTAATCCATTAATCTTTTACTTAATTATAGCGCAGCATGTAATAGTTCTCTCATCTTTTTATTGCGAGAATGGTTTTTATTTCGATTATAATTAAAGAAAAGAAAAGGTTAGAAGCTTTCGAAATGTAGTGTTACAGGCGAATGATGAGGATAGAGTGGATAGAGAAGGTTAGAAATGAAAAGGTATTAGAAAGAATAGGAGAACAGAGGACTTCATGGAAGTCAATAAGAAATAGATGAGATAGGTTAGTAGGACATCTACTAAGGAATGAAGGTCTAGTCAGACATATTAGAGGCAGAAACGGAAGTTAGGAGGGGTAGAGATAGACCTATATTAGATTACTGTTCGCAAATAGTTATAGATATGGGTTGTTCTAGTTTTACGATAGGACAGAGTGGAGTGTTCAACCAGTGTTAGGACTGACTACCTTGTGATGATAATTATTTTGGGATAGTCAAGTTTTAAAGAGACCAAAAAATATAAATGCATTTATTGGAAACAAAGTTTTTGTTTTGCTCGACCTTCCCAGAAAAAAATTGCTTATTTGTTATTTAATTTAAGATTATATGGTCACAATCAGACGGAGTTGGGGGACTCTCTCCCCTACACTTCTCGATGCTCCGCTTACCTTCAACAGGCTTTCTAAGTCCCCAAAAGTTAAAGGCTCGTTTATATTTGAATGCCCCTCGTATATATATATAAAGTATACGTATATATGGGATGAAAGGCAACATTTCAAGTTTTTACTGCAGCCCCCCTCCCCCAATTGCAAATCCTAGATCCGCCACTACACACATTTCACTCTCTCGAACAGCTAATGCTTTTTTCGATTATAAAAGAAGTTTCGACTGCCCGAATTGCAAGACCGAAACTTTATTCCTGTTGGATTTGATCTTAGTCTTGGTCCTAGTTAGTTAATCGCATATCCCTGGTCAAATCTTGCAGTCATAATATTTTTTACTGCATGAAGCACTGGACTGGTTCAGATTTAATTTGTCGAATATTCATTTCAAAATTGTAAACTTTAATTATGACTATTTCGTGTTGAAATTTGTATGAAGCAAAATTTCGAATACAGCAGGATGCTGGATGCATAATCTTGTAGTTTTACATATCACGAGCTGTTATTAATCCTATGCTTGCTTCTACTGTTCCATTTTCTACGCGGCAATGAAATTGGATTTTCATCTAATTAGAAGCAACGGCAAACATGCCCAGAAAATGTCAAAAGATCATTTGCAATACTATACGTCGAATTTGACGTTTGTGTTGTTTGACGGAATAGAAACAGTGATGTTAACAGTGCTCATTGCAAAGAGAACTTACTAAATTAAGAAAATTATCTATTGTACTATCCACATGCACACTAATATGTAATAGTTTTTCCGGAGAATTAAAGAACTTAACGTCTTTTCATTTTTAGTGATCGCAACAGTATTCCGTTTGATGTGTTATTGATTAATTATTGAATGAGATGTCAAGGAATACGTCAATAACATCGGAAAGTTGGACAATTGGACCAGAAAAGTAAATCCACTGACAATGGCCTAAAGTTAGTCGGTCAACTCTAAGGCTTCATATTAAACAAACAAAAAGAACTTAACAATTAGAAATATCGATTTGATATCATTTGGTGTGAGATGTAATACAAAAACCTTCTGTACTGTCCGGCGCCTTCGCCATAATTGTTTTCTACAATACCCACCTGACTACCAAACCTTATAAAATTTTACAGCCGTCATTAAATATTTATAGATTTATAGACAATAACCACAAAACTTGTTTCATCATTTTACATCAAATCGTTTACCTCCTGATGACATCCACATGATAAAACATTAACTCTTTACGATCATTTACAAGTATTTACTTTCATTTGCAATGTTGCACTGGTAAATAACAATACTGAGACATAGTGTTTTTCAGTATCACAATTCCCTCCAATAGTTTTTGTAATACTGAAGGGTTTTGCTTTGGTTTCACGCACTGGTTTCACGTTATTGACCATGACAGTTTCAATTGTAACATTTTATAATACATTCCTCGATTACCTTGCAATCAGATGATAAATTAAAAATTATTATCATTATATTATGTACTAGTTTTTATTACGAAATCGTGTACAGAAGATTCTTACTTTAACAACTCACAAAATAATTTGGATTTGGTTTAAGTATTTTGTTAAACTGGGGTGTTTTTTCACTAGGATTGATATTTTTTCGTGGGGTAGAAGTTTTAATTAACTCCAAATTCAAAGAAACGGATAAAGGTAAGGTAGAACGTTGCCAGAACATAGAAATTATACGTTTTCTTTGTTGGCATTTTTTCTGTTTATATGTTTTTGAAACACAGCCTAACACCCTCTCAATGGCTGAAGGTATCTGTACGAATGTTCAAGAGATGATGCCACCCTTTGGCGATTGCACATAATAGAACATCCCTATGTTCCATTCTAAACTAGCTGCCACCAGTGTATAATTAAAAGTCTGCCATGTTTAGTATTCACTGTGATTTCAACCTGATACTGCAGTTAATTTACATTTTTCCGGACAGTTTTTAATCCTCATGACGAGTGCGGCTGTTTGTGAATGACACGGTTTCAATTATTAGCAACTCTTTGTCGAGAAGACGCTGTTGGCTCTCTCCCTCGTTAATTTTGCGGAAAGAAACAAAAAAAAAACCGCGATAAAAGTTGACTGTCACCCTATTGGCGCAGTAATTATTTCTACCCTCTGGAAAAATAGCGAAAGCCACACAGCTCGCTGTCGCCAAAAATTCAGAGGTAATAGTCCTCGAGACAAATTGGTACAGAAGGTTGTAATTTAAAACCACGGGAAAAACAGCAGCATTTGCGTAAATCCCAATTATCCCTACAATTTACACAAGTTGATGATTTTATTATTAAGTATCTAATTTGGGTTATAATTACAGTGTAAACTCTTTATAACGCCACTCGATTTAACGACAAACTCCTTAAAACGTCGAAATTGCTTGACTTTGGTTGGTTTACTTTGTTTTCTATACAATATTACACTCTATATAGCGTCACGCTCACTCTATTTAACGACAACAAAGCGGCATTACAAATCATTAAGCAGTACTTTCTAAGTTGCCGAAATAGATAAGAACTGCAGCTGTGTACGTTGTTGAAGAAGACGTTCCTGTCCCTCCACCAAGCATCAAAGAAGCACTTGATGCAGCGAAACTATTTAAGAAATACTTTTTATACAATCAAATTGATGCAGCGGTATCTCAAGATATGAGTAAGATACGTAACAAAATACAATTGAAATATTGGAGCAGCAAAAAACATCAGACGAAGATAACAGGCTATACGCAATGTATGAATAATAATGTTCGTGTGCAAAATGTGTACTATATTGGTAAATGCACATTATTATAGAATGGTAAAATACTATCTTTTATTTCTCTCCATTTAACGACCACTCTTTATAACGCCGAAAAATGTTCAGTCCGTTAAGTGTCGTTATATAGAGTTCACGCTGTATTTTTTGACTGTCAGGGGAACTTCTTGCTGTTTATATACATATGCTAAGTCTAAAAAATCTAATATTTAAACCATCATCTATCCTTCAAGGATTAGAATAATACTAATTCTGACTTTCTCTAAATAATAAGGTTCCAAGATTTAGCTCGATGATATTGACATGGTATGAAAATTAACTTTTACAAAGTAGAGGAAACATTTGTTTCTTTTTTTATTGAATTAAGTGATTATTTCAATTTGTGTTTTCCTTTTTCAGCTCTGGACTTAGACCTGTGTTCCAGCAGTGTGCAAGATGCGTTTGTCATTGCGGTGGAACAGCAGGCCAGGGAGCGATTGGAGCGGCTCTCTGCCCTCAAACGTATCACTCCCGTCGACATGACAAAATTGTCACAACAGGTGAAAAAATTGATTACTATAATTGCGCACATTTACCCTTTATGTTAAAAAAGTCAATTTTAAGTTTTATTGCGTCTATTTACCTTTTATGCGCCTATATTACTTTTTTGCTAATATTTTGCACAGTTATAGCTGCATTAGTATACTCCGTTTACTTTCTGTAGCGATGTGACCTTCAGTTTGACCGACGCAAAGTAGAAAAGAACAGCACTACGCCAGAAAAGGAGGGAGACAACTCTCGGCCAAACTCTTAACCGGCGAGGAGCGTATAATCCGTACAGTACTGCACGGAAAAATTGACCATTTTATCCACCACAATTGCATTGCTCAAATGTGCTGTTATTGGTACCATTTACTACTGAAAATATCAACGAGATGTTTATTTATATTTGAAGACATATTAAAAGCTTTAACGCTTGTTTTCGACTCGCACTACTATTCATGATTGAACAAAACTTTTGGCAGGTACTGTATGAAAAAGTATGTTTAATGAACAAGAGTCGAGAGTATAATGAGCTTTTTTCTCCCTACCTACGATTTTGCCAGCGCGCATCCAAGACATTAGAAGGGGCACATCGCTAGAGAAAGTAAATGCAGTATATCTACGTAATTTCGTATTTCCCTTACAATATAAAAATATTGGGAGTTTATATTTTTGTCTGTCCAAGTTATTTTCTTTGTGCTACATAATACAGTGAAGTTTTCGGAGGTCTGAACTAAAAGGTTTCAATGTATCTCATATGTCTACCTGTCAAATCTGCTTAATCTCACTAGCACCATTTAACACAATGTATCAAATTGCCAAGAGGGCACTTATGACAACCTTCCCATACATTCCTTCCAAGTATTTTCTATTCGTCCTATATACCTGCTTTATTTTTTCTGTGCATGTCTACGCATTTAAGGACCCACGTCCCATTTGTTTCCTAATCAGTCAACTTTGAAGTCGGGAACGTCTGGCCTGGCGCCTGTAGACGAAACCCAGTTGCCCTTTCTGAACAAACAACCCGCGTAAATAATTCGAAAAAATGTAACATAATACACGAAGAATTATATTTGGATAAAATCTGTAGCCACTATATTAAACACTTGCTATTTAATAAGGAGAATACTTTCTCTCTGAAATTTTAAATAAAAAAATTATATTTATACAAATTTTCCGTTAATTAATGTTCAAAATAAATTCTGAATCTTCTTTATATTCTGCTACTTGTTTTTATCATCGGTGATGCCGAATTCCCTCCCGCAGGTAGTTTTGGTCAAAACATAGACAGTCGAATGCCCTACCGGGGACTAGCCGAGTTCCCTCCCATTCATATTAGCTCCGATAATTAAGTTAACGACTACTTACGTGTGCGTCTAGCTTTTTGATGCAATCATCTAGAAAAACTTTATTAGTTTTAGTTTGTCTTGTTAACAATTTTTTAAAATTAGATGAAACACTTCGTATTTTAACAAATTTCACATTGAAAATCTAGTAAAACATTAGCAAATTGATAAATATGAGGATGAGCCGTTGGGAGGCAATTGATGTATAATTAGGAGGGAATTCGACATACCGAAAATTTTAACCCTAATTAAAAACAGGTATATGGGAGGGAACTAGGCATTATCCTTTTATCGGCGCCAGGGTCGAACTGAGGAATTTCTTACCTTAAAACTAATTTGACTGTAACTATACTTTTCAAACACAGTAGAATTTACACGGTATACAAGCAATAAGTACCAACAAAAACAATTGATTATCAGCAATAAAAATATGAAGCTATATTTGTTAGGGTTGGTTTGAATGATAAATTTGCGGTATTATGAAAAACCGACGTTACATCACTGATGTTGTTGTTGTAATCGATGTTGCTATAACCAAGTCCACTTTCCATAGTACTTTGACACCGTCTTTTAACAATGATAATTAATAATCTTATTTAACATTTCTATTACTATAAAGTAATGTTTTTTGTTTGAAGTGAAACTTCTTTACGCACGGTAGGGTGTTCGTCTCATGCGAGTTGCTATGTAACGAAATCATGCAACGGATGTCC